TTATTAAACAACGCGGACGCGGATATGAAAATGAATAAATTTTGTCTTGTTGATTTCTGTTGTTTAAAGCCTCCGTTAAGCTGTTAATTTACAATGCAATTATGGGATTACGTCATAGAAAGAGTCGATCGAAAAGGAAAAATTCCATACAGCTGATTAAGAACAACTTTAGAGTTGATCACGAACTTAAACTCATCTTGAATATGTTGAGTGTCAATCGTTACCTTTTGAGTATTAATCGCAAACAAATATTTTCCGTGCTACTTGAACAAACCTCTGATTTGTAGGGCGGACACCAGGAGAGGTGCCATAGGGTCCACTAGACAGAGGTGCACAGAGCGCCGTTGTTCCTTACGTCGCTCTCAAAGAAGTAGAGTACGAATGACGGTTTGCTTGTTTTAGTCACGCCGGGGGATAAATTTTCGTGACGTCATTTGCACGCGACGCTACTTGAATCAAGATCATCCCTAACGCTCCTGTCCACCATCTGAAGGTTGAGATGATCCCCTACGACCATAGATAACTTCCAACCTGTGACTGCGAATGCATGTGTACAAGTGACTGTCTGCGCATGCTCACCGGGAGACTTTCTCGGGCAACGTGCCGGAGAAGTTAGGAGGTTCACGCATCTACCTGCTGAGAAGAAGGAAAACTTTAGCAACTTCACTCTTTTAGAAATGCTTTTTTTTGTAGTGGCGATGATGCATGATGCTATACATGACACGTATCCCTCGAAGACGCTTTATATAGTAATTTATTGAAGCTTTAAAATCACAGCTCTAGTGCTGAATTAGATCAAACTTTACAAATGAATTCAAATAATTGTTTTNCTATAGCACTGGCCATCTTTCCTACCATCGCTCATTTTATTACTTAGCGCGCGCTCTCAAGCATCCCTGTTCACCGAACTCATCAGAGTCTTATTAAACAACGCGGACGCGGATATGAAATGAATAAATTTTGTTTTGTTGATTTCTGTTGTTTAAAGCCTCTATTAAGCGGACCTTGAAGTGAATTTACATTGCAATTGTGGGATTACGTCATGGAAAGAGTCGATCGAAAAGGAAAAATTCCATACAGCTGATTAAGAACAACTTTAGAGTTGATCACGAACTTAAACTCATCTGGAATATGTTGAGTGTCAATCGTTACCTATTGAGTATTAATCGCAAACAATTCAAATATTTTCCGTGCTATTTGAACAAACCTCTGATTTGTAGGGCGGACACCAGGGGAGGTGCCATAGGGTCCACTAGACAGAGGTGCACAGAACGCCGTTGTTCCTTACGTCGCTCTCAAAGAAGTAGAGTACGAGTGACGGTTTGCTTGTTTGAGTCACACCGGGGGATAAATTTTTGTGACGTCATTTGCGCGCGACCCTACTTGAATCAAGATCATCCCTAACGCTCCTGTCCACCATCTGAAGGTTAAGATGATCCCCTACGATCATAGATAACTTCCAATCTGTGACTGCGAGTGCATGTGTACAAGTGACTGTCTGCGCATGCTCACCGGGAGACCTTGTCAGGGAACGTGCCGGAGAAGTTAGGAGGTTCACGCATCTACCTGCTGAGAAGAAGGAAAACTATAGCAACTAGACTGTTTTAGAAATGCTTTTTTTGTAGTGGCGATGACGCATGATGCTATACATGACATGTATCCCTCGAAGACGCTTTATATAGTAATTTATCGAAGCTTTAAAATCACAGCTCTAGTGCTGAATTAGATCAAACTTTACAAATGAATTCAAATAATTGTTTTCAGTGTTTGGTAGTAAAACCATCTGTTAGGCTGATTCAATGTTTTTCAACTGCTGATCGACATGTTTGTCAAATAATAAAATAAAGCAGGCACGTTCGTCATGCCCTCCAGCTAAATATTTTCTCTACGACCCTCCCACTCACGTACAAGCTAACATTACAAAAGTAGTTTTATCGCAGAGTGATGGCAACAGCAAACTTTTCTGGAAATGTGAAGCAGAAAACGGAATACGAACAACTGATATGCTGGGAAGGTTTAACTACAGTTCCTGGGATAAACGAGCAGTTTATATTTCTTTCAGTTTTAAACATTTTCCTCTCCATTACTGCATTTCTTGGAAATGCTTTGATTCTAGTCGCTCTTCGTAAAGAGTCTTCCCTTCACCCGCCGTGTAAACTCTTGCTCCGAAGCCTTGCAACAACCGATTTTTGTGTTGGTCTTATTACGGAACCTCTCTCTGTTGCCTATTGGATGTCCGTAGTAAATGAAGACTGGATTATTTGTCGCTCGGTATCGGCCGCGTTTAGAATAACAAGCGTTGCTTTGAGTGGAGTGTCTCTGGTGACAATGACTCTAATAAGCTTGGACAGACTTCTTGCTCTGTTGTTGAGGCTGAGATACAGACAAGTTGTAACTTTAAAGCTAACCTATATGATTGTTGTTAGCTCTTGGGTTGGGTGCACCGCCATAACAACATTGTACGTTTGGAATTCCCTAGTAACCTGGTGGTCAATCATGATAGTTGAACCACTGTGTTTACTAACCTCGATCGTCTCCTATACTAAGATTTTTCTCTCCCTCCGTCATCATCAAGCTCGGCTACAAGACCACGCTCAGCGACCGAACAAAACATTTCCACTAAACATAGCGCGATACAAAGAGGCAGTGACCAGTGTGATATGGTTGTAAGTGACAATGGTCGCTTGTTATCTTCCACAGGGTATAGTAGCGGTCTTTGCCATTAATAGTGTGGTGTCTTTATCTGTATTTCTCGCTAGTCATTATACAGCCACTTTAGTTTTCATAAACTCATCATTAAACCCGATTCTTTACTGCTGGAAGATGCAAGAAGTTAGACAAGCAGTAAAGGAGACAGTCAGACAGGTGCTTTGTTGTTCATCGTGTTAGCTCTTGTCGAGTTGCATCATCACTTATCTTACCCAGAGAAGATAAAAACTGTTAAACCTTGCAATAACTGATTCTTGGGTTGGTCTTATTACAGAGTCTCTCGCTGTTGGCTATTGGATGTTTGTAGTAAATGAAGATTAGAAAATCTGTCGCTACGTGACTGCAGCCGCTTATATAACGAGTATTATTTTGTGGATAAATAAAGATTATCTATCTATCTGAGGAGTGTCTGTTGACAAATGCTGCAATAAACGTGGACAGACTTCTCGCCGTGTTGTCGGGAATGAGATACAGAAAAGTTGCAACTTTAAAGCGAACTTACGTGATCTTTTGGGTTGTGTACGCTGTCTTTTCAACAGCGTATTTCTGGAATTTTCTTATAATCACATGGCGTATCTTTGCGATTAATGGAAATAATGCAAGTCACCTTCTTTGTTTATCAAACACAATCCTTTTGTCAAGATAGTTAATTAAAATTACCAGCTGTGACCCGGGTTAACCAGTCTCTAAACGTAGAAAACTGTTAGAGAAAATGATCCATCACCGAACATCAAAGATCGTTAAATCCAGGCAAAGCTATAGCACTGGCCATCCGCTCTACCATTGCTCATTATAATACATAGCGCGCGCTCTCAAGCATCCCTGTTCACCGAACTCATCAGAGTCTTATTAAACA